GCACCACCACCCCTTCTGGAGGCTACAATGACTCGTAGAAAAAAAAACACGATAGATCCGAGCTCCCGAGCTCCCACGATGCCCCTACGACAGCCCAAATGGCCTCAAGGCGGCCAAAGAGGCCACCAAGAAGACCCGAGAGGACCACAAGAGGACCCCCCGTGCCAAAATCACACTGACTCCAGAGGGCCTCCAGAGGGACTCAAGACACCCCTAGAGAGCCACTCGGCTCGACGGCTCAAGAAGGCCCAAAAAGGACCAACGACGGCCCCGCGACGGCCCCAAGAGACCCCCTGGGCGACCAGGATGGCCCCAACTCGGCTCAGCAACGCCCCTAGGTGGCCCCGAAGGGCCCCGTTGGCCCCCAAGACTGCTCCAGAGGAGCCCAAGAAAAAGCAGAAGAGAAGGAGGAGCACGAGTCGATCAGAGATGAGAGAACCTCCGCCACGACGCGGAAGAACGTGCCGCAAATCACCGCTCTCCCGAGCCCCGGGACACGAGACGTCACACACTGCGGCCCCCCCCGTGCAGCCACTTCCACACTGTGCTGGGCTGGCGCGGTGGCGGGTACTGGCCGCGGGCAGCCGCATGGGGACTTCCTCTCCCTGCGCCTCTCGCATCTGCCTCCCCCCTTCTCCCTCCGCCTGTCTCTCCCCCTCCCCGTGCTCCCTCCTCCTCCGCCTGCCTTCTCTGCTGTGTCGCTCCTTCTCCTCTCTGTGCCCTCCTCCTGCTGCTTCTTCTCATCCCCATCGTTATCCCGCTCCTCCCTTCCAAGAGAAGAATCACGAGCATGGAGCAGGCTCGCTGGGTGGGCCTTGTGGACAACGCTCGTGGGGAACCCGAAAAATACCGATACCACTACTCCCCGGGGCGAACTTTGACCAGACTGTCCAAGCGAATCCAACCGTGTCGACGAGGGCCCAGGAAACCCGAGAAGGGCGGAGGTGAGGCAAGGGCAGCGGCATCGGTACATTCTCCTCCTCTGAATGCGGGCAGCATTCGCGTCCCTCGCTCCTCCTCCTCCTCCACCTCCTCCTGATCCTCCTCCTCGGCATGGACGCCTCAATGATTATACTCCGTGAAGCCGCCCGATCGGGAAGACGCCTCCCGCGACGGAGCCACCCCACGCCGAACAGTGCGCCTCCAGCCAGACAGGTCCACGGCTGGCCACGGTGCCCGGACAGCCTGCAGGCTTGTGGACGGTGGCTCGGCGCGGGACGAGCCAGCGAGGGACACACAAGGACACGGACACGCCCGCGCGCTGGCACCAACTAGTGCTGCGGGTGTGGCGCTGGAGCACCACTCAACTCTGCGATCGTCACAACGTGCGAAACAAACATGGAGGAAGAAGAGGAGTAGGAGGACGACGACGAAGCGTGGCCCGGTCAGAACTCGAAAATGTTGAAACACACAGGGTGTTCATGCAGCGCGTTCCCGTGTGGCACGGCGTACAAGTTCGAATATCAAGCCATGAATCCGTCGAAACAACATTGAGGGTTGATAGCATACTCACGTTATCACATCCAAGTGTGTCTGCGACATGATTTCTCATGTCATTGATCCACCTGGTGTTGGGTCTTCCCGTCCTGAGTCTGGCATGATATGCTGGATCTTGATGCGGAGTCTATTGAATGACATGTCGCATCCCTTCCGTTTCTCCCTTGGTACTCAACTTTCGTACCCATTGCCATTTCCTGTGCCGCACTGTCGAGACCCAATCGTCGATTCCTAACTTTGCTATGACTGCTTCAGCCATTGTGCGTGGACCGCTTGATCCGATCGACCCATGGCTCCAAAATAACCGCGTTCACCTCACTGTCGTCATCTTCATTCATATTCGGCGTGGGTTCCGGCGGGTTGCTGTCGAAATCACAAACATCGTCGTCCTCTCCGTCTTAATTCTGGTGGGCATTGTCGTGCTGGCTGCTGCTCGGATAACCCAGGGCTTGCTGTGACGTTCGGGTAATGGTGTTTGCGGAGATGCGCCGTGGTACTCGCACAATCATGCAAAACATTTGTCGTTATATTCGATGGATTCGGTTTGCTAAGTCGGTCGTGAGCGTCCAAACTTCGCTCTTGTAAAAGATAGTCGGTATGATGGTTCCGCGAAAGAGGCGTAGCTGGTCTGACTGACAGTACGTTGGTCCTGCAAGTTCTTGTTATAACATGTGAAACTTCCACCATGCTGTGGCTATGCGGTTTTCGATTTCCGTCGCGTGAAGTACAGTGCGCTGTCGAAACCGTCCAAGGTATTTCGTGCTGCTGTATGGAGCCAGCATTTCGATCATCAAGCCGAACACGTGCACGCAGTCGGGTGTACGTGCTGCGTGGTGGTCTGTGGCCGTTGTGCAGGATCTCCGTTTTGTCAAGATGAAGTTGTAGGCCTGATTTGCCCGCTTCAGTGATGAGGTCGGCACGCATATGAGTCAAGTGGTGTAGTGAGTGGGACACGAAAAAAACGCGAGAACGGAGCCGGGGGAATGAGGATGAGGATGATGATGTGCCCGTCTGGGGGGGGATAGTATCTCAGTTGACACACTGCCTCATGAGCTGCCCGGAGCAGATAGGAGGGGGAGGAAAACAAGAGGTCCACAGGCAGAAGAGACTCGCTCCCCCCTCCCCCCAGTGCCACCAGCACGCCGAGAAACACCACGAAGGGACCCCGACCTTTCAAAACCGCACACCCCCGATGCTCGATCCTCGCTGTCGCTGTCGGACCCGGCATCGGTGGGGGAAACCAAAAAGGTACCGATACCGATGCTCTTTGGGACCTCTCCCAGGGTTCTGATGAGATTCCAGCCGTGGAGACGAGGGTTCTCCAGCACGAGCAACGTAAACTACAAGAGAACAAAAACGGCACAAACATACTTTCTCGGAGGTCCGCGCGGATTTCTTCGATCGGCGCCGGACTCTTCTCACTGGAGCGCGGAGCGCGCCAGGGGCGGCGCCGGAGTCGCCGCCAGGGGGCCTGGCGTCGATCCATGATTTCGCGCGGAGCCCCGACATATCATGGTTACACAATTGTTCCTTTTTCGCCTCTTCCTCCTCTGAATCGGAATTTACAGGAGAATCCAGCCGTGGCGACGAAGGATATCCAAGACAGAGAGAGAAAGAGAGAGAGAGAGGGAGCGTTTCACAATCGCTTGCCTTCGGAACAATCGGCGGCGCGTTTCGAACCGGGAGGTGGGCCCCCCCAACACTCGGCGCCGTCGATCAAAACCAACAGGGAATCCCCTCCCCCCCAAACCCCCCCCCTCCCAAGGGGGAGGGGGGGTTCAACCCCCCCCGTCGCGTCGGCGCCAGCGCCGGCGCCGGCGGCCGCCAGCAGCGCCGAAGGCGGGGACGCAGCGACGATGACCACAGGCAGCCCAAGGGAGGGGGGGGTTCAAAACCCCCCCCAGGCGCACGAGCGCCGCGGCGGGCCAGCAGCGCCGGCGCTAGCGCCGGCGACGGCGGGGACGCAGCGACGATTACCGCCACTACCACCACCACTACCACCACCACCACCGCCTCAACCCACCACCACCACCACCAACCCACCACACAACCACCACCACCACCACAGCCACCACCACCACCACAACTCACCATCACCACCAACACCACCACCACAAAAACCGACCACCACTACCACCACCACCACGATCTACCACACAACCACTACCACCACCGCCACAACCACCACCACTACCAGCAACACAACCCACCGCCACCACCACAAACCGCCACACCACCACCACCACCACTGCCACCACCACCACCAGCACCACCTCCACAAACCACTGCCACCACCACAACACACCACCACTACCACACACCACCACCACCACCACCACACCAACACAACCACCACCACACCAACTCATCATCATCATCATCACAACCACAAAAACACACCACCACGACCACCACCACCACCACAATCTACCACACCACCACCACCGCCACAACCACAACCGTTACCAGCAACACAACCCACCACCACCACCACCACAAACCACCACATCAGCACCACCACCACCACCACCACCACCAGCACCACCTCCACGAACCAACGCTACCACCACAACCCACCACCACCACCACAAACCACCACACACCACCAAGCCGCCACCACCACCACCACAACCCACCACCACCACCACCACCACCACCACCACCACCAAAAACCACCACCACACCACCACCAACCACCACCACCCACCACCACCACCCACCACCACAACCACCACAACCACAACAAAACCCCACCACACCCACCAAACCATAACCACCACCCACCCCCACCACCACCACCACAACCACCACCACCACCACCACCACCACCACCACCACCACCACCACCACCACCACCACCGTCGTCCTCGTCGACGCGCCCCGCCGCCGCCGCCCGCCGCCGCAGGTGCCGGCGCCGGCCCAGAAAAGGAAATCGTCGTCCTCGCCGCCGCCGCCAGCCGCCGCCGACGCAAGCGCCGGCCCGAGGAGAGGGGAAGCAGTGGCGCTATTGGTATCCTCTTGTCCGCTCAAACCTCTGAATCGTTGCGAAAAATGCGAAATCGTGACAAAACACGACTGGAGCCCTAGACCCTAGACCCTAGACCCCAGCTTTATGCTGCATTTTTCGAGCCACATCGATCTGTGATGGTCCGAGGCCCCGAAAATCGGAGCAGGGCGAGTATCTGCGTCTCTTGCTCCTCTGAATCTGCCTTGTCGGCAGCCTTGACCGCCCGAAATGGGAACAGGCGGCCGCCTGTCAAATGGGCAACGTCCGCGGCCACACCAACAACGGGCCCTGCTCAAAATGAAAAAGAACTGCTGATAATCTTAGTCTTCGTACCCCTTCTTTCCGCTCCCATTTCGTTCATGCTGATCCTCGGATCCCGATCTCGGCGTCGGCGGCGTCGGCGGCGTCGCCAGCGCCGGCGCCGTCGCCGCCCCGCGCCGTCGCGCGCGCGCGGGTGCCTCTCGGGGCGACGAGTACTCGACCAGCCCGCAGCCCTGGGAAGGGCGCGGCGCCCCGCTGTTTGTTGGTGTTGACGGTGGAAAGAGACAGAAGGGCCCCGGCGCACACAAATCCGCCGACTCCTGCTTGCCAGGGGTAGCAAGGCGTGTGGAATAATTGGCTGCCCCCCCCCTTTCCCCCTCCTGCAAAATCCTAGATCGCGTTCGAGGCCCCGCCCTCAATGGGGGAGGGGCGAGCTCGTCGACGCACCCCTGGGGCCTCTGGAGCCTCTTAATTCTTACTCCGTGGCCTCCAGGATGCCAAATATTCTACATTAACTTGCTTCGACTGGGCTCCAAAACGCAGAAAAACTCCCCAAACACCCACGATCGCCTCAATACGGCGCAAGTGGCTTCGAAGACGCCCCAAGACGGCTCCGAAAGGATCTCCTCGAGGGTTCAACGAGGCGGAGATCGTTCCAATGCCGAAAGAAGAAAACGTACATTTTTGGCGCATGCGGTTTCTTCGTCTTCACAACGTCCCAGACAGCTCAAAAGACCCGCAAGATCGCTCCAACGCAACCCAACAAGCCTCCCTGGGGGCCCCGAAACCGCCCAGGAGGGTCCCAAGACGGTCCAAGGGGCGCCCGAGACGGCCCAAAGGGGCGCCGAAGATGGCAGAGGACCCCAACGGGGCCCTGAGAGACCCAAGAGAGGTAAGTGGAATTCACATTTCGAGACCTCCGCCCCAAGAAGACCCCTGAAAGGCAGGCGCCCAAGAACCCCCCAAAAGGCTCCCACAGACCCAAAACAAGCATCCAGACGCCCTCAAATCCCCCCACGAAGCCCTAAAAAGCCTCGCCAGTGAACGTTTACCCTCAACCCCAAGAGCACCACCGAGACCGCCAGCAAACGCCGAAGAGGGCCAAGTTGCGCCCCGAGACGGCCGCCTTATGGGCCCACGTCCTCAAGCTGCAGCTGGAGAGATGGGGATCGATTCCGCGATCGTCGCGAGCCTTCTCTTTTCTGGGGGTCGGCGGACTGGCGTGAGCCTCTTGATACATAGAAACCCATATGAGGATGGCCCATATGATTCTACATTTCCTGTATGTTCCTCCTCCCCTTCGTTTCCAGAAGGTTCCACAGATCTTCATGGACATCCATGCTTATGTGCGTCAGCGTCCACGCTTCCCCCCTGACCCCCCTGAGGGGAGCGGAGAAGAAGCGCGAAGCTCCAGCGTTGCTGCCACGAGCATGCTGCTGCTTGCCGTAAGCGCCAGCCTGGGCGGACACGCCCTGCCCCCCTGGACAGGCGGACGCTCACCATGGGAACGGAACGGAACGGAAGTGCCCGCGGGCGGGGGAGTGCACAGCACTAAATATGCAAATGAACATACTGGCATAAACTTAACAGGGATATAACCTACACCGCAGGCGAGGCCAACATTTAGCCCTTGGAATGGGCCTCACTGGCCAACTCCTTGATGCGAATTCGTTCTAATAACGCCGCCATTCGTTGCTCATAGGGAGGGGCGGCACCAGCATTGGATAATGAAGTCCTCACCACGGTGGGGGCGTCCTGGCACGGAGGGTCGGCGGAGAGGCGCAGCCTCTGGAACGGAACCGCGCGCTCGACAAAGGCCCGAAAACGCGGGTTCGGGCAATGGCCCCTCCGATACTCAGCCAAGACGTCCAACCCTTTACGCGTGGGGGCCTCGCAACTCCGACTGAGCTTAATTCCCCTCCCTTGGGGCCACCCCCCACAACGAAGGCACGAGATCTGCCCCTTAGACGCATCGCGACGCGACGCCGAAACATCGCCAGTTTGCCGAGACGGCGCCCCCGACATGGCGACGAGAACGTGCCCCATGGGATCATGGAGCAGCTTCTTGAGGAAGGATGGCAGTCCTGAACGTCCGCCCATGGGCGCTTCATCTGGCTGGCGCTTTAAGGGCTCGCGGTCATACTATTCATGCCGATGCTGTTTTCATGGTTTTCAGTGGCAAGCGGGTTGGATGGCACGGAGGAGGGAGTGATGGAGGGATGAGGAGAGGGGAGAGGGCGGAGGATCGGAGCGGGAGGGGGGGGGGAGGATTTTCACTCCAGACACGCGACGTCAACTCACCGAGTATCAGGGCGGCGCCAGCCTCCACCTGTCTCCCACGACAGCCACTGGCAAAAGACGTCGCGAGGCGTCGTCTCGAGCCGCCTCCCGCGAGAGGCCAAGGGCCGCCAGGGCGCCCCGAGCGAGCTAGAACGCTCATGTTCTAATGGTCGGCTGGGGCGCCCGTCGCCAAAGCGATCTCGCTCCAACGATCGGGGTCGGCCTTTGAACGCAGAATGGGCTCCACGCTCAGGCCAGAGCGCGGGGCAGAGTGTTTCAAACTTGGGTCGCGCGCCAAGAGGATGTCCGAAGCTGGCGCAGCCTCGAGGGCGCAGCGGCGCCGAGCGATCCAATCTCGAACTGCCGCGGCCCCAGGGGCGACGTCAAAATCGAGCGATCCAAAACTGGGCTGGAGCAGCCTCTGGCTCATGTGACTGAGAGCTGAAACAGCATTCGTCTGCAATTCACTCGGACATCGATTCGCTGGACTCCTCGGACTCCGACTCCCCCTCGCTCTCCTCCTCGGGCTGGTCCGCCTTGCTCTTTTTGGGCGGCGGGGCGTCGTCCTTTGTTTCTGGGGTTTTTCCCCCCGCCCTTTCGTGGAATTTTTTAACTGCCGCCCGCTCTTGCCTTCTGCACACCTTGTCTCCTCTGGCGGCGTATGTCTTTTTCTTTTTTCGGGTTTAAGGTGTGTTAATCTCTATTGGAAGATTTAAAGCGTATAGGGGCAATGCTTTTATAATGGATTCTTTGGTTATAGGAGCACATGTTCGTAATCTTATAGAGAATTATAGTCTTTAAGTATAGCGTGAGAAAGAAATAACATCTGAGGATTGGAAGAGTAGCTTTTTCTTAGGGTTTTTCTTTTCTATTTTCTTCGGGCTCTTATTGTCCTTGCTCGCCGCGCCCTGATCTTTCCCCTCGTCTTCGGCTCCGTCCCGACCGTCCTTCACGATTCGCAGCGCCTGGGCCTGCAAGTGCAAGGCGCGGTTGCAGAACGCCGACGCCTGGCCCGTCAGAGCGCTCTCCACGGCTTTCTCCCGCGTCATCTTCAGGAAATGCGTCTTATGGTGTTCGTCCGCCGTCAGCGCAATGACGCTGCGCCCCATTTCCAGGGCGCCGAGCACTCCATTGCCCGACGCCGGGGTGCCGAACAATGCCCACTTCACCGCGTCAGAACCGCCAGCTTCCCAGATGAGCTCCTTGATGACGGCGCCGTGGAAATCGAACGGGAACCAAACCTCCTCGATGCCAGTCAGGTGCCTGTAGAGACGCCGCTTCCTCGCGTGAATGGCGATCTCCTTCTGGGTCGGCCCCTCTGCGTTGCGCTCCCCGAAATTCGCAGGCGGACGGGGTACATACCCATGCCCGAACGAAAATAGATGAGCAGACACCCCCGAAGGAGAAGGAGGAGTCGGCTCAAAAAGAGGAAGAGAACCGTGAGGCGAAACCCACACAAAGAAACCAAGGAAAACGAAGGGGATACGTCGCCCCATCCTGCCTCCCGCGTCCGCCGCGGACGCAGGCGCACGTCGGCTGCGCCATTCATTGAACCTCAGGCAGCATCGCGGACGACCGTACTGACGACAAGTAAGAAGAAACCTATTGGGGAGGGGGGCGCAGACGGGCACCTTGCTCATGACCTCGACGTACATGCGCGAACCGCGGTCCACGTACCACCGCTCCTGCGGGATCTTCGGGGGCATCTTCCCCTTCCAGCAAAGGAACAACTTCTCCGTGGTCTTCGAATTAGCGACGCCACGGCAAACTTTCCAATAGTATCGCTCCATCAGCCTGCTTTCGTAGACGAGGATAAACTCTTTCACCTTCCACCCTTTCTCCTTGAATACCTTCTTGATCTTCGCCTCGTTCGTGTCCACCCTGCCACCGAACACCCAGCATATATCCTGATTCCGCTTCATCACATTGTCAGTCACGTAACAGAACCGTTTGAAAACGCCCTCGTCAACTGGTGGTTCTCGCTGGGTTAGGCACTCGCCCTCGAAAACGTTGCACAACTTGGCGTTTTTGGGATCGTACACGGCCACGAACCGGCCGTCACCGCTCTCCAGGTTCGCGTGCAATTCCGTGGAGACCACGCTGGCACACAGCTCGTCGTGGCGCCCGTCCGACGTCAGAACGACCATCCGCGCCTCCATCTCCCGCTGGCAATGCGCCTCGATCTGCGCCTTGAAAGCCGCCTGCGCGTCAGGGGCAGTGCCTTCGGCGTGCTTCACCGCTGCCTCAGCTGACCCAGCCGAGGTCGCCGGCGGGGGCGCCTCGGGGTCCGCCATATCGCTGGAGACTGTCTTCGGCGCTGCCTTTTTGTAGGCTACGATGAATTCAGCGTGGAACCGCTTCTTGACGCGGTCGGCCTCCCAGAACTTCTCCGCCGTGTACTTACCCGCAGCGATCGCGGACAATGCGCCTTTGATTTCGGGGGCGTACAGGCCGGAAAACACGTCCAGCGCGTGCGACATGAGCATTCGCGTGGCCTCGCGCGGCAGCGCCTGCAACCACGTCCTCCGCCTGTTCGGGCCCTCCAGGAGCTCGTACATTGCCATCGGGTCGCCGAGGCACGCGCGCGCCGTGTCCCAGGCCGACGGCGGCGGCCGCGCACCAGCAGCTGCAACAGCCGCTGTACCGTCAGCTGCCTCAGTCGGGGCAAGATCATCAATGGGCTTCCGGAGCGCGTCGGGGAAAGTCTTCTGCAGGTGGACCGCGTAACGTCCGATCCACAGGCACTGCGCCACAATCCCGCCTTTGCCATCAAGTTGAGAGTCCGAGAACGGGTTCTTCTGCTTGGTCCGCAGCATATGCGCGAACAGCCACCTGCACGCGAAGGCGAGGCCGGAGTGCGTGTCGCACTGACGCACCAGCGTGAGAATCTTCGTGGGCCAGTCGAAAAGATTATCGCGACCGAAGTGCGCCCGGGCTCTGTCGACGATACAGCAG